TCCCGGAACCCCCCCCCCCTCCCCCGCAAACTAAACTATCTTGGTGACTTTACCACCATCCCTAATACGCGTCGAGGATTGGCCCTCGGTCATGCCGCCTGCCTTTCTGAGCGATTTTTGTCTCCGTCGCTCTCTTGTTGACCTCGTCTATGTGGAGCAGCCGTGGAGCCTTTGGCAATTCTGGGGTACTCGTCGTACTCTGCATACTGCAGGAGAGCGACTGCTCACAACTCGAACTACCCGTGACTGCTCGGGATTAGCCGCGGATGGCGTCTCTCGTTCCAACAACGACGTCCCGGACTGCTGCAACCAAAAGCCACTTTATTTACTCGCTGTTTGCCGGATTAGGTGAAGATGCATACTATTATCCCACACGCAATGTGTGCTAGCGCGATCTCAGCGACTTGGAACGACCATTGTGCACCGTCCCAAGCGCTTCGTTGAACCGCGCGTTGTCTGCCTTGTAGCAGCTCGGTGAACGATGCCGTTCGTCGCCCTCGCGCCTTTTCTCTCGTGTATGTTCACAGAGAGGTAGCTCACATGTTGTGTGAGCCCTTGCGACTCTGCAGGAGTACAGACCCGCGCGCTACGTACCTGCTGCCTCGAGCTAGGCTCGGGGATCCTTCCCACGGCCGAATGCGCAACTGCGCAGCGTTGGGCTGTCCTAAGTACCGCGAGCCTACGGTTCGTTTGTCTCGAAAACATTGTACAGCATATTGAATATGACTCTCAATCTACGAGTCTTCACTACGATACAGTGGATGCCTACCTGTATCGTACGTAGTGGCTGTGATCGTTAACTCTTCTCGGGCATCCGGGCGGCCCTTGCTTTTGACATATAGTCCTGGGTGTTGGCCCCTTCCATTAATGTTCCTGTACTAAGAGTGGTGTGATAGATTGTCCTAGATAGGCACTGGAGGTGCAGTCGAAGATCGACCCTGTTGATCCTAGTACTCTTGCATACTTGCCGCAGAGATCTGCGCGTGGATACATGATACTGGCGAGGGTCTTCCTAGCGCATGTGCTGTAGCAGTATACGTACCTTGGTATCTTTTGACATACGGCAGGTACTGGGCGCTTGCGCCGCTATGATACAGAAAGCAAAGGAGCTCCGAAACGGCCGCGCTCGGGCGCGGTCACATGAGAAGCGCGCGAGGCGCGCGTCACCGAGCCTGCGCGGGAAGTGCTCGAGAGGCTGATGCAAAGCCGGACGAGCCGCGAGCTGCTACGTGCGGCCGTGCCTCCATGCGCGAAACCGGGACCAAACCCCGTAGCTCAGAGAGCACCCCAACAGCACACAACCTCGACAGGTGAAGAACTTAGAGAGAACCCCCACTCGAACAAAGCCTACCTGCTGGCTCATATGTCCCGTACACTGCACGTTAGCCAGTTCGCATCAGAGCGGATACAACGATTGTTAGGGACTCGCCAGGTCTGTGGATTTGCCTCATTTGTTGCACGCGACGATGTGTTGACAAAGCAGCCGGAAGTATGCACGAGCAAGGGCCGGCTGGCGCCGGCATGAACCTTGCGTTGGGCGTCATTCCAGCGGATTACTGTCGATTACAACTGTGGGAACAGATCGAACTGTGCGTAATAGTGTGGAGAGATCCTGCGCATACTCGTTCCCGAACGGTTTGGATTACGACTTAAGATGCCTTCGGCTTTCTGCTGCACGATTGTCGCTTGCTCTGGGTGTTGCTCAGACCTGTCTTCGGCGCAAGAGTAATCTGCGACTGAGGCGAAGTGGCTCAGATACCAGAAGGGCGCCGCAGCTTGCGTCGAATCTCCGGTCAGAGCTGGCATCTGGTGTGCGGGGTCTTCACTACACCTTCCGCCAGCTCAAATCAAAAAGTGTAGAGAGCACTCTTTCAGCTAATACTGTATGCCATCGCAAGAACAGCCTATGGCAAACGCTATTCGAGGCAAAGGAGCGTTCTCGCGGCGCGTTCGTTGAGTGCGTCGCCGGACATTGCCGAGACCCATCATGATCATCTGATGGTTGGTCGGTGCCTGGCCGAATTGTCGCGGTGGAGAAACCTTGCAACGCAAGGTAACTATATGGTACGGTGAGCACAAATCTTCATCATAATAGTCAGAGATTGAGATACGAGGGTGTAGCTGAGTATGATCTCCCTTTCCCCTGCTGAATCCATCGTCCCTCGCGCCACTAGCCACTCAACCGTTCTCTCCAAGGTCCAGATGCGACGCGACGCGGTCATGTGACCGCGTATGCATGATCTCCTGAGACGCGTCTTCATTTTGCCCAACCGCGACCAGCCCCTTGCGCGCGCGTTCTGCCTGCCGAAGTCGATCATCTTACTTCAAAAGAAGGATCTGTGGGCGCAGAAGGTCGTCGGAGAGGCTGATGTGATGGGCATGTGTGATGGACCTGATGTCGCCATGCAATGCTGAGGCTGGCCGTGTGCGAAAAAACCTCGAGTCTTCGCGAGCCGTATCTAGAGGGAGCTTCAATAAGCCCAGTATATATGCAAAGACAAAGACAATAAAAGACAAGACCGAAAAAGAAAGGGATCGTGAGCGTGATACGGAGATAAGGTCGCGGTCGCGGAAGGAGAAGCGCGCGGCGTTCGCAGAAGCATCCGAGGCTTGATGTGATACGAGCTTAGGCACTTTCCCCCGCGGCCCTTCACTCGCTTCACCTTGCCTCTGCGCTAGGTGTGACTCGTGCCTCGCCCCGCCTTGCTCTACACTCAAGTGCTGGGAAGGAGTCTACCTTACGTTGCGACGCTCGAACTCCTCGAACTCACCAATCCATCATCAGATAAACATGATGCAGATCGGCAAGCCCCGTTTACGCGGCACGGGCACGTCGCGCGTCTCCCTCCACGTACAACGTCTTGTCGCCATTCGGAAGAGATGTGCGAGAGCCTGCAGCGCTAAGTCGCGAGTGACAAATTAGAGTCTTCGATTGATACGCGCGCGCCCAGTATGCGGCGCTCTTACTACGTGAGCGCGTCTGAGCGAACGATGAACCGGCGGTCGTAGGACAGCATAACGAATGTGCTGCCCCAACGGCTGTGCGCATAGCACAGGCAAAGCCGCCGCGCGAGCAGACTACAAGAAAGCTCAGCGCTCTCTGCTCAGTTCCGCTCCAAACGGAATGTTCTTCCGGCGCCAACCGGCCATTCCTCGTTCAAAACGCCACCCACTAAGGTGCGCCTCGCCTCGTCTTCCGTGCACCTTTACCGCCGCGACCCCCCGACTTTTTGGTTTTCGTCGGTTTACGCACCGCGGCCCCTTTCCCTGAGGCGGCGGGCCGTTTTAACCCTCCAGTCGAAGAGTGATCTTCACCCGCGTCCGAATCCTCCTCGAAGGGCTCGTATGGGGGGAGTTCTTCGTCAGAATCGTAGTCCAGATCCGGCGCGGCCTGACCATCCTTCTCGCGCCTCGTCTTCGTCCGCCGCTCGTGCCTGATCTTCGCGCGACGTTCCATATCCTCCACTTCCTCGGCTGATAGCAGTGTCGATGGATCGAGCGCAATGCCCTCCTCGGTGTGCACGAGTAGAAATCTCCTCGCTTCCGCCCTCAGAGTTGCGAACTCCTTGCGCCAATTTTCCGCCTGGGATCTACGGATATGTGCCTGTTTTAATGCATATGCCCTCTTGCCGTCTACCCACCCAGCGTCACTGGCCCAGCTCTGCTCCTCTCCCACATCGATGGTCACCTCACAATCACGGCGGACATCCCATATCGAGGCCATGGACTCATTAAAGTCGATAACGCGCTGCATCTCGGCGTCAACTAGGCGTACTTCCTGCAACCAGTGTTGTGCCCGCGCGAGTGACTTCGCCCATTCCGTCATCAACTCTGGGGAGAGATAAGTCAAATGACCGACTGCGCTCCAACGACAGTACGAACCGTCGACGAACTCAGAACCAGACTTGATAGTCGTATTATACCAGATCCAGGGCACCTTGTGATCAGTCTTGCCGGACAGACCCGCTTTACGCCTCTTCTCAAGAAATGTCTTTATGTTCTTCTCTGACGCCTTTTCCATCTGCTCGACAAGTTTGTCGCTCAGAGGTCGACAATCAGAATCGGCCAGCTTGCGCATAGTTGTTTCCCAGGATCCTCCGCCTTCTAGTGCGAGATAAGCTTCACGATGACGTCTATACGCACTCGCAGCCTTCTCGATGTTGGCGTGCACCGCGACCTGGGTGGTCAAGGAACGTGTGGCCGCTTGTTGCCCGGAGGAGTTGTTTTTCCTGTGTCTGTAAAGACAACCTTTCAGGCGCAAGTGATGCATGAGATTGTTGAGCTCATTCTTCATCGCCTCCCATCGTAGCTTTGCCTCCATCGTCTTTGCATCCTCGGAAACGACCGTTGTATCACCATCCGGGGGTGCGGAAGGCATGCCAAGTTGGACCGTCATCGCCGTCTTGCGGCTAGGGTCGCATTCCTCCGCGGTAAGAGCGGCATAGGTTGTCGGCATAATGAACTCCTGTTCGGCGCGGAAGATCAGGATGGAGTTCACTAACGCGTCCAGTACCTTGGTCTGGGGTTTACCCAGCTCAGTTTCGACGTCAATCTTCTGAGTTACACGTTGCCTGACAGACCGTGAGCGCTCATCGCACGCGCAACTCACTGAAACTCTACAGACCTTTCGTCCTCGATCTTCATGCCCCGCTCAAGGCACTGGGCTAGTGCGACATCGTCCGGCGACTCAACATGCACCGTCATATCGACGACGACAGCCGGACCGCCATCTGTTTGAGACATGATCTCCGGTACTGATAACTCTGTAATCCAAAAGCGCGTCACTAAGAGGAAATTTACAAGTAAAGATGTTGTTTACCGCGCCCTGGAGTGTAATATGGGCAATCTTCATCAGACATCTCCGTCTTCACCGATGCGCCCCACGTCGCGATGCGCGCCTGTGTCCGAGTAACTTCTTCCGGATGATCCGCTCGCATTGCCTCGTCGAACCCCGTGTGGATTACGGTTTGCTCGGTACCTTCGTCCAGAGCACGATCCATCTTGCCGCGCAGATATAAGCCTTATGTTGTGTTAGTATGCCCCATTCGACCAGTGTTAACGACAACCGACCAATGGTACAAGTCTTCATCCAATTCCAAGCGCCAAATATGTCGTCCATCGTATCATTGTTTGCACCGGGTCCCATCTCCCGCAGACTAGGCGCAGCTGCTTTAATGCCTGACCACAGACGTTCAATTTCCTCGCCGTCGGTAATTGCAGTACCGAACAGGAGACCAAACGCATATCGGATCTGGCACCAGAACTTGTGTGCGTAGAGATGGAACTTGGGAACCACATAGGAAATGTGTCCAACCGTGGAGAGCTTTGCGAAGCTCTGCGCACCAGCCCATATGACGCTCGTGGGACGGATCCGCGCTAGGCGGCCTCCAAGATTCACGCAATATTGACACACGACGTCGTATGACAGCGTGACCTCAGGAGCGCGAATGTGGGCCAGAGCGCCGCAGAACACCCAATCCATACTCTCTTGCCTGTTCGCGTACGACATCAGTATGTTGAGCAACGAAGAGCACGACACGCCTCACCGTTCACCCTTAATCAATGGAGCAATGCCAAGAGTTTGTACGAACCCATGGCGTGCACAGACACAACCAGCTACGCCAGTGGATCGTTGCCGTTTACTGCCTCGTGTGTCCGCCATCTCGAGCGCCGCAAACTTCGAGCATGTCGACTGTGTACAGCGTTAGACTAGAGCTAGCATGCACACCAAAGGGATGCGAACCTTTTGGGCTACTTCATTAGCTGTATCTTTGGTATGCAGTGCATAGTCGTCCCACGGCGCCATATAAGCCCTACCATCCGTGAGATTAGGATCAGTCTCCTTTGTCGACTTTGTGAGCTTATTCGACAGCCGAAAGTTGGCGTCCAGCGCGAGGATGACCCTGTAAAGCCACCTACAAGACGTCAGATGCAATCTCAAGGAAGGTCCTGAAGCGCTCACCGAAATGGACTCGTCACCCAATCCTTGGGAACATTCATTTCGAGATCTGGACACGCAGGGCATCGCACCGCACAGGCTCCTGGAGGTGTCCCGGCAATGCCGCCAGGCTCGTGGCCTCGCCCTGCTCGTTTGAACATCAGGATGTGACGAAACTGCCGTACGCAGTCAGATAGTTGATGCCTCACGCACTATGCGAACAAGTCAGCGGAGGAAGGAGAACGTGTACGACCGCACGTACAGCAATCTTGCTCAACACCGCGCCGTCCGTGGCTGCCTCCAATGACCGATAGAAATCATATACGTTCAAACGACCCAGCACTGTCAATCGCGTGAAGAGATCTAAAGCTTCGAAGGTCGTCGCCGTCCTTGGGTTCTCGCAGGTAGCGGGCCAAAAGCGCCATCTCATCAATTGAATGTGATGGGGTATATCTTGTCCACCCTCGCATTGGCAGAAGTCGACCGGAAGCGTATGTATTCCGTTGGTGTGGATTAAAGTGAAGTTCTCGACAGCGTGAAGAGATCGGAATTTGCAGACGTCGCCTGGTTGATGCAAGAGTTGTATACGAATGCCCAGTTCGGTCTTAGATGCGCGCTCATAGAAACCTGTTGAGTTGAACCGCTTCTCTGCCATCAGTTCTCATGCATGCCGATATCACGTAGCGTGTGACACACCTCTATCTTATGCAAAGGCGAATAGCGATGCCAGAGAACGATGCACTCTCTGCAAAGGTTTGCACCGCGGCAGTCCTCACACCGATACTCCGGAAACCCCTCGATGCCGCAGTGAGGGCAGGCTTTGAGATCCAACGCTTCCGCACGTCCGTCAACCCGGATGAATTCGCGTAAGAAGAGTTCTCGCCAGCTAAATTTCCAACGCAAGATCGGATGCTCCTATAGTGCATTAGCGTCAATGCCAGACTCGGATGATAAGAATAAGTGTACGGTCCAGAGATTCCGTATGCGCTTCGCTATGGATGGCTCCTCCGCGTTCTCTATCGTCGGATTGGCGCCTGCCTCTTCAGCTTGAGGATCCCCATCAGCGACACGTGGGGTGGAATCGGCATCCGCTGTTATAAGAGATGCTAGGTAGCATTCAGTAGCAGGATGCGCCAGGTAGACGCTTGACAGACCTTTTATTTCGACATTGTCCAGAGATACACCATGGAATGGTGTTTTGAAAGCCTCTGCGAGCTTGTCGGCGCCAAGTTCGGTCAAGACTCCGCTTGAAAATGTCGACTGTTCTGGACGACTGCTCAAAGCCGTAGTGTGTAGGCGGCTCGTGGACAGCCGACGTGGATCACAGACGAACGTAAATGGCTGGACTGATTTATCGAGCACAGGCGTGAGGATCGTGCTGGCAGAAGCTTTGGGGATCCCGATGTTGTCAAGAACGCCTAGACCTTGGACGGACGGTGCATGACGTTTGCGCGGCCGAGGGTTATCGTCCCGAGTGAAGCGTCTCATTGCGAAACTCCCGGCAGAGTCTGTCAGGTAGCGGCCAAAGCAGAATGTGGCGTTGTCTGACAAGCTGCTGAGGTCCCCTCCCCACCCCCACCCCCATCAGGACGCTTGACGGGACGTTGTCGCCGCTCTCCGGCCTTGGATCCCCGATCTCAGCTGCCGACTTATGTTTCAGACACACATGGATCATTTGTGGGGCCTCCGTGATGGCCTACAGCGCCTGTAGAAAGATCAGGCTGCAGGCTCGCTGGGGTGTTGGTGTTCGATGGGATGATGTTGCGTTCATGGCTGCAGATATCAAAAACTGAATGCGTCGGTATATGGATGGCACCATTCGGACGCTCATGCGAAGGGAAAAGCATCAGCAGGTAATATCGGCCGGACTTGGTGGTCAACATACTAGAAGTTACTTCAGCGTGATGAACGGATGCATGTGATGGTGTGACGCCCGGTCATGGTGCGGCTCGAATATGAGCGTTCGATGCAATGCATGCTACGCACGTCGACATTAGCCGGAAAACCTATGCGCTTATGATGGGATACAGACTCTACTGCAGACGCCAGAAAAGGCAGGGGACTGTACAAACCCCGGGAATGGGTTGCCATCGCATGATGCCGCATGCGACGCTTGATGCGCGATGCATGCCTTGTTGGGAGCACGCGCAAGCGAATGCGCTGGAAGAGTGTCTGTGCGCGTCCAGTTGCATATCCTTTGAAGCTGAGATTAGCGAATGTCACAGTTATTTGTTGAAGACCTGACCAGGCACGAAGAGCGTCGAAAGCGACTTTTGAACAACCCTTCTGAACGCGTGAACATAGATATGCTCATGAATTTCCCGAAAGGACGCGGCGGAAAGGAATGCATAGAGACAGCCAGCTGCCAAGGAGCAGTGTTGAAAGACGACGTTTATGAGCGCTCGTCGCTTCGGGGAGACCCAAGCGGCCGCGAGCGCGAGTGACGGTGGGGATCATTCACAAATCACGGCTCTTGATCGCTCTTTGGTGCTCCGGGGGACGAAGTTCCCTGCACATGAAGGTGAGCAATCGGGGGTCTGGTAGCCGCTGCAGAGTCTAAGCGATAACACACAGGCACCACAACGCGACATCGGACGGCAAATGACCAGGACGAGAGTATGGTACTCGATTATGCAGCTCTCAATGTGAACCGCCGCGGCGGTGTGGCCCAAGCCAGAAACGCTGTTTAAAACAGTCGTTTGGCAACACATGGTTGTAACGCGCCACCGGGGATCTGTATTCGCAACTACTATCTGACCCGTCGCAGGGCGACGCTTCTTGAAGGGTGACCTCGTCCGCCACAGCATCGCCAATGTACTCATCTTCATCGAAGCCTCCTAGGCCGCGGGCACCAGTCGCGGGCGTCTCTTTCGCTGGGCGCTGCCTCGCGTCCGAGCAAAACAATAAGAAACGCAGCATTCCATGACCTCCAATATCTTGGTCTCCGCCTTGTACGAAGTATTGCACGAGTCTTGTCCACCGCATGCTGCGACACTTGTATGGAAGCCGGCCGTTGCAGTACAGGTAGACACGGTCGATGGCAACCTTCCCCCCACAGTATATCGGGCAGGGTAGGTTTGCTGGAGCTTCAACATCGGGAGTACAGAATGAGGTTGATGGGCGACTGAACGAAGAACGGCCGCGCGAGGTTCTCTTAAGTATTGCGAATGCAAAAATGCACGTGCAAACGACGCGTCGCGCATTTTCTACGCGCGCGCCGCTGCCGCGTCTATAGTGCAACTTCGAGCCGTGGCTTGCCAACCACGCCGAACCGTGTCTTGATCCTGCCAACAGGAAAATCGAATACATCACTCCGAAGTTCAAAGGGATGAGAATGTACAGTAAGTATTCATCGGTATCTTTTTGTGACACCGGTCGTCGACCGCGCGCGAGCAACGCCTAAACGCCTATCGCTAACTCGTCCTCGACGTGGATCCAGCAGGAAGAGCAGTGTTCATCTCAGCTTCCTCAGCAGGCATCGTTGTCTTGGGCTTGGTAGTCTCAGTAGCTATAGTATTGGTGGTACGATGTAGGCTCCACTATAGTGTATTATTAACGGGCAGACAGGGCGGACAATTGATCAATCAAATTGTCGAAAGCCAAAGTCATATGTATGCGCTCGTGCGCCGCGCCGCCGGGAATACCAACTATGAGGCCAGGTAAGCTCAAAGCCAGTACGGTATCGATGATGTCAAAGACGATGCGTACGCAAGGACTCACTTCCTGAGCCACGCCGGGAGATGCAAGCAACCCTTGACGGCCGAGCCGGGCTTCCCAAACGCACGAAGGTTGGCAGTAGCGTCTGCAGCTTGGCGAGGAACGCCATGCGCTGCTACACGAGAGCCGGAGAGAGCATGCAGATAAATAGAACATGCCCCGGCGGTTCGACAGACGTGGCACTGGAGCGGCACAGCCGTCTCTCGCGATCAATCTTCTTGCCGTTGCACGAGGGACCCTCACGAACGCTCTGCGGTCCTCATTGTCGCGAAAGCCCAGGTAATGGCGGAACCGCATCAAGACCATCTCCAGGAGCTCGCGTTTCTGCGGCTCGAAGTGGAGTTTCAAGAGGTATGGTCGCGGTGACAGTTTTGCGTCGGCGAGGGAATGTGCGAGTAACGGGTTGTTGATGTGGTCAGCGAGACCACCTGCTGCGTAGCGCCAACCTTTGACGAAGGCATTTCAATGGGTCCGGGTGTATGTATAGGTGTGATGGCGTGTGCGAGGTCGCCTGGTCGGTCCGAGTGGATGGAAACGAAGAGCGCCATCTGCTCCTTGACTGCGGCGAGCACCAGATCTTCTTCTAATGGTTGTTTTAGGACATAGCGGAGGGAGCACAGCGGGAGCATGACATGCCTGTGTCGCAGGGGTTTGAACTTGAGTTCCGTGTATCGCGGCGTGTGCATGCTGCAGCCGGGGAGTTCGTGTGCGTACTGAAGGAGGCTGATCTGCGTCCTTTCCAGCGCTTTCGGACCGCCGCCGATGTCTGGGACCACATCTGCACCGGCGCAAAGTACTTAGTGCATCTGCGCGGGCCGTGGACAGCAGATTCGGACACGTTACCGCGGGAGGCAGATTCTTGTGGACATTCTCTATGCGTCCAGGAAGCACGCGTCGAGTTGACCTTGATCTTCTCATACAGAAACTCGCATAAGCATGTGGTGGATGTCGGTGCGACTGGGACTTGTTGACCTCAGGCTTACGTGCGTAGATAGGAAAGGGCTCTCTCACTGCCGTCGAGCCGCAGTCCTTTCGCTTGCGAAGCTTATGACGGTACAAGCTAAGTGTGAAGCTGATGAGCTTGCGCAATCCCTGTCGAGCGCGCAATTAGCTTACCAGACTTGAGGATCCTTCCTTGCCCTCATATGTATATCTTACGGGCCATTGAAGGCCCATTGACTGTTATCCCAAACTTGGCTGCATCTCCCCGCTCGCTCTACTGTTCCAAGCATCGCAAGGCGAGCTTCAGCTCGGACTCGGACCGCCCACGCTGCTCTTCAACGCATGGTACCCGCGCGCAAACTTTGGCCGGTCTGAGCCTGTCTTGCGCTTCGGATGCGAGAACCTCAGCGGGCTTCGGTGTTGGGGGGCACGGGTAAGGGTGGTGGCGGTTCAGATCAGTCGGCGAGCCGCGTGCGATGGAAGTGACAAGCGGGACGCGTTCGCACTTCGCCTTGCCTTCTACCACCACCCTTCACCGTCTCGTGCTCATTCTTGTCTAGTCGTTATATGGCTATCTCAATAATTACCGCTGCCCTCAGGTAAGATTTCCGACTGAGTTGTGTGCAGGGCTTCGATTTACACCTCCTGTCCAGTGGAAGAAGGCGAGGACGGCCGCGCCCCGGTGGGCGTGAGTGGCGCGGTCGTGTTCACAACAATCAAGACGGACCAGAGCAATCTACCTGAGATCGTCGTCGTGCTGCTCGCCATCGCAACGAAGCCGGCCGTCTCGATTCTTTCCCTTGGTCTGCCCGGAAACCCTGCGCATCTTACGAGGACCAGTGAACGTTTCGCTACTTTCTCCCGGACCGAACGCAAGAAGTGAAGTTCTCGATCGCGCAAAGGGGATCATACGTTGGCAGTCACGGACTGGGTCAGGGTGTGCTGTGACAGAGGAGGCCGCCATAGCGGCTGGTCTGGAAAGTGTGCCTTACGACGCAAGGCAAGCACGCACACACTCGACGACCTACCCGTCTCTTACCGTATGCTTCAGCGTCACTCTGCTTCTTTTTGAAGAGGACGACATCATCTGCGGCGTATTCGCGCCGCTGCCTCAACTGCCGCCTCCTCGGCCTTCAGCTTTTGCTCTACCTACGAGCAACTCTTTGCCGTTGGGAGGCACGCACAGATCCAGGCCCCCTTTCAGACACCCAGACGTCCTTCAAGAGATGTGCGATGACGTTACAGCACTCATTACGGAATGAGAAGGCTTTGGCCTTCCCATAGGCGACCGTTGTGGCCCATTCGGTGCAGTACACTTTGGGCGATGAGACAGATGGTGATGGTCAGGACGCACAGCGTGAGTGTCTTCCGACCGTCTGGGAGGTTGACAGATATCGGCAGTGGGTACGCGAGCAGGAGTAGGCACAATTGGCTCGGGTTGGAGGCTCAGTCTCCTTGCCGACGTAGATGCCGATGTCAGACTGTCCGCTAGTACGGCCTAGCCTCGGATGTACAAGTCTCTTGCCTTGTTTGGGCAATCATACAATGACAAAGTCGCAGCTTTATCAAACGACGACTTGCAGCGCGTGCTCAACGATGCGCTGTGCGTGGATGGCAGCTACTTAGGCAATGCGTCGTCGACCGTAAGTATATGGAATTTAGATCATCCCTGCTATGATCTTGTGCACTATCAGAAGCTTGCTACGGAGTAGAAGTTGGGCTAGACCCTGCATAGCTGATGCCTCGGTGAAAGCAAGCTGTGCGTCTCGCGACGTGTGGTGGCAAAGAGCCCATTGTCACTATTGAAGATATTGTGATGGTGATCCGGCTGGGTTTGCTAAGAGTACAGCAGCGGGAACACTTGTAGCAAAACGTTGGCGCTATGTTGGAGGAATTAGGTGTGAAGGGGGTCATATCTAGGAGAGGTACTTGTCCGCGGTGGATGCCGATAGCGTTGATGTAGGTTCAAAGTCCGATGCAATTGCATGTGGACTTCAAGGTTTGTCGATACGATTCACTTGGGTCGCCCATTGCGTATGTGCATGCAATACTCAGGTAGTTCATTGTAAATATAGCGCGGTCACCGCACGCAGAGGTGGGCGGCCCAAAGGGGACATCTCGGTGGTGATACTACTACCGCTCGGTTTCGACATACAGTCCAAGGCACGTAACACAATACAGAGCGGAGGGTGGCGGCATCCGTCTGCTAAAGCTACGTGCCACACGCGTGGGATACGAGGCGAGCTTGTGCTTCATGTTCATCTAAGTAAAGCGGTAGTGAGCATCAGCTACTCTATCTCTTTTGCGATCAACTTCATCTGAACAAACCTAGGATGAAGACTGATTCGGGCGTTCCCAGTGCGCTGGCTGCGCCCTGCTGAGTGTGTGCTGCGGCCGGTCAGAATCAAACACTGTAAATTTCCGTTGCTTTGTCTCCTCCAATACCGCATCGATTCCAGCGAAGACGCTTGCCATGTTGTCTGCGAGTATTCCAGATAGCCCCTTCGACGGGATGAGCAGTTCCGGCGTCGCGGCAGAGAGATCTTGTAATAATCCCTGATCTCGCAAAGCCCTCAACTCATCGACCTCGCGATCCATCCGTTCCTTAGCTTGACGGAGCATATTATTCTCCATCTCTAGCCGCCCGTTCTCTCCGCGAAGTTCTGCATTTTGCGCTCGCAGCAGCTCATTCTCACCAAGGACGCGTTGCATATCCTCGCGGACCTTGGCGAGGTCTAGATGCAATCGACCGTTCAACTGAGAGAATTGTCAATTGAGTCAAACTCGCTGCGATTTTCCATATAACTCACTGACGTAATCAGTTCAGGCGAAGGTGAGGGATAATCGGACATCTTGTCTCCAACGTGGATGTTTCAGACGAGGAGCAGACTGTAGCAGAGCAAGGTGGGCTGTATAATCCTGTATTCGTCATCCGGGGCCCGGAGGGGCTGGGATGTCAGGGAAGGTGATCTGATGATTTAAAAAGAGCCCGCCATGATGTCATCTATCTAGGACAGTCGGAGTTAACGTTCTGCAGTTCCCCGCGACTTTATTTCCCATCTCTTCTCGGTCGGGTCGAAGTCCTGAGCCTTACCTCCTGCCCTCCCATCTTGTTCCGATCCCGCTAGGTCAAGCGTATATTCTTTAAGCAGAGCTGTCGAACGATACCCGATATGTAGTAGACCGTGTGAGGACCAGGGAGAGGCGGAGGGAGGGAAAACGGGGGTTCCTCACCGAGCGTTTGATCGACGCGCACACGTGTGTTGCCGCGTGTAACGCAACTGGCGTTGTCGCCTCCCTCGTCCTCCACAGTCGATCTTCTTCCTCTTACATAAGCCTTACAAATGTGTCTTCCATGAGTAAAGCCAGAATCTTTCCAAGCCGAAGAATTGGGCGTCGTTTTTTGCCACAAGGCGATGCATAGCTCAGCATGGATGGAAGGCTCACCCCCACATCAGTAATGGAATGGTAAGTACATGGGTTACTATAGCAGTCCGAACGTTCAAAAATTCGGGTCTTTCGGCGCGCGTCTCGCGACTTTATTTCCACATCTTTCATTCAGTTCAACTATCTTTCTCTTCCTCTTCCACCATCTTCACTTCGTATCCCTCTTCCCTCCACTGCTCAGTATACTCGCTACTTGTATCTACTTTGCAATATATGCACTTTCTCCCCGCACCGACTTGTGTGACACCGCCTCCGGTCCGAACGCCGCGCCTCAAGGCCTCATCTCTCACCGCCGCACCACCGACTCTCCTACGCACCTCACCCCACCTTTGGACACTCTCGAACTTTCCTCGCGCGCACGGCTCTGGCGACATGCACCTTTCGGCGGCGGCCCCTCTGCGCAACCGCGCGCCTAGCGGTCGCCCCAGACCTGGCGCTACAGGCTCCCAGCCGCGCCTCGTCACTCGGCGACGTCTCGAGCGCCAAACTCAGCGGCCCCTCCCCATCGGGTACGCTGCAGATTATGCCCAGCTTCTAGATGGGCTTGACTCGTAAGTTATATAACCCTAACCCCCCTACATGACCTCCTGCTAACCCGCCAGCGCACATTTGAACAGATCCAACCAGTGCCTGGCAATAGGCTTGCTGCTCTCTACGCCTTCAACTTATTCTCAGGTCTCTTTTCCTCTCCGCACCTCGCCAAACTCCGGAAGCTTTGAAAAAGTCAATGTCGCAACTCACCTACACTCTCACCGAAATGGCCGCCGTACCTGAACCGTCGACCTCGCCTACGGATGGTCACTCGCACACCGACGACAGGAAGCAGTCGCCGCCCGCTTTCTTGGATCTGGCCGACTCTGTGCGTGCTCTCCTGCGTTGTGCGCGCGTTGACAGGATGCTGACCCCATCCGACCGCAGGCCGCACGGTTGGCTATGAATATGCTCGACATCGCTGCTGTACGTGATCTGCTACCTCGCGCTTGCCACGTTCTCTGACCTATAATACTTACAGCGCGTCGAGCTCAAGCGGTCAGGCCACGGGCGCCAACGCACGCTTGACCGCAAAATTTTTGAAGACCAGATGCGCGCGCTCGCGCAGCAACAGCAACAGGAGCTCTTGCAGCTCCCGGCCGACCGCGCGAACGGCCTGCAGGGCTTCGCCATCTCAGCGCCTACCACGCCCCCGCGCGTCAGCGCCCAGACGTTTTTCCTGGCCTGCTCGCCTCTTTCGTCCAGCATGGTCTTGACGTCGACCACTTGGCACATGTAGTCGGCACGAACGGCTCACACAAGTGCACGTCTGTCGCTTCCGCGCCGGCCATGCGCTCTCCCGACATTCCGACTGCGGCGTCTACAGGTCTGCAGGGCAACCATGGCCTTACCGTGGCGAGGAGCATGCCTACGTCGCGTCGTCAGAGCCCCTCTGAAGATGATGTGGAGTTGGCGAATCATCTCCACAACTTATCGCTCATCGGTCAGGAGCGTAGCTCGCCTATGCCTACAAGCCAGTCCTCGTACTTCCAGCGCAATGGCCGTCTCGACGGCGACGCTGCCGGTTTCGGCGCCATCTACAACGCCGGAATGATTGATGAGCAACTGGACAAGGAGATGCGCATGAGTTCATTTATGTATTGTATGTATTCCTCGAAGTATTCTCACCGTTTCTAGAGACGCCATGCGCCCTCTCCCGACTTCGGACGACGACGAGTACCTTCGTATCAGAAAGCCGTTCCTCAATATAGATATATGTGCTGACCGACCGAATTGTATGCTCAGCTTCAGACTTCGTCGGCCGCGCTCGACCTCGCGCGGGCGCCTGCAGGCCAACGCAGTTCGTACGGCGGTGCACTCCGCTCTGCAGAGCCGCGTGACAAGCCTCCGAGCGAATGGCCGCAGTTCAGCGGTAGGCCGTGTGAGAACACGAGCTTCCGTTTAACGAACACAAGCACGCCTCTTAGAACTTCTCTCGCTTCTCCCATCACGACATGCTGTATCTGTATATATCATCTTAATTCAGAGGCCGTCGATTTCAGATGC